TCCCCTCCGCCAAGTCACGAGTCAGAAGGGCATTTCGTCTGCCCCAGATACCGCAGAAAGAGCCTAACTGGGAACAATTTTATTATAGGGGAGTGGAGGATTGCCAGCCACATTTCAGTCCACTGCAAGAACTAAGTGTTACATGATGACCACGCATCCAGGAAGGGAAGAACTGCAGAACATCAATTACAGTCTGCAAAATTGTTTCTTTTTGTTTGTTTGTTTGGTACCGGGAATGGAACTCATGACCTTGCGCTTGCCAGGCAGGCACTGTGCCACTGAGCTAAATCCCCAGCCCCAAGGTTGTTTCTTAAAGAAAACACCATACTCTGGTTTCTCTTCAGCTAAGTATAAATCTTTCGCCTTTTAAAGAAAACAGCAAATGATACTTTCAATGAGTGATAAATTCAACAGAGCTTGGTAGCTAAGCCCATCAGTCGATCAAGGCTTAGCTGTTCTTACTGTTGAGAGTCTCCTCTCTCAAATTTTGTTGGAGGACGTTTGCCATGCACAATAGTGATGTTTGTCTTGGGAATTGGATGCACACAGCATATCTTAATCATTTCCAGTCCCTTTCCTCCCGTTTTACCTTCCCCTCCCCTTGTGCCTTCTTATTTCCTATCATCTCTGTCAGAGTCCCACTAACAATTAAAATGTGAAAAAAAACACCTGAAAATATTCCAAGCGCAGAATAACTTCAATTTTGTGAATTCAGAAAAGTAGTGGAAGATTTATATCTGGATGATATAACAAGACTTTAAGTTATGTCTTTTGCTTTTATCTCCCATCCAAATGTTCTGTGATGACATATGTTCTCATTCATATTCACACACATACCATACACATTATCACCATCAACAATAATAAAGGAAACTCATGTTGATGCCATAAATAAAATCTTCATGATGAATGTTAAACCAAACATAAGTACAGTGAAAATATTTAAAGGAAAAAGACTGGAAAGGAATGTACACAAAAGTATTCTTAGCCAGACGTGGTGGCGCACACCTGTAATCCCAGCACTCTGGAGGCTGAGGCAGAAGGATCGCTGTGAGTTTGTGACCAGCTTGGGCTACATAGTGAGTTCAAGGCCAGCCTGAACTGTAGAGTGAGACCCTGTCTCAAAAAAAAAAAAAAAATTCCTGGAGTTTTCACTGAGAAATGAGTTTTTAAATATTCTTTCTTATTTGTAACTTTTTGCATTTTCCAAAATATTTCTTCCAACTATCATTGTCAAAAAATGTGAAAAGCCTTAATTTACTTTATTTTAATTTTGGTGGTACTGGGGGTTGAACCCAAGGCCTTTGTACTGAACTATATCTCCAGCCCATCTTTTATTTTTTATTTTGAGAAGGTATCTCACTAAGTTGCCCAGGCTGGGCTTGAACTTGCAATCTTCCTGTCCCAACCTCCCAGAGTGCTGGAATGATGGGTGTGCACCACTGCACCCTGCTAGAGTCTCGGATTTTACTCTGCCTACAGGTAGACAAGTGAGCCTGCGGCTTCACGGTGGCAAAGAACACAACACTGTTGGGCTAGAAACAGAGGACAGTTCATTAGAGCACAAGCGGTACTCAAAACACCAGTTGTTTGTTTCTTTGCTGGATCCCTGGGCCCTAATTTCCACAAAATAACATGAAAAAGGCCAGGCAACATCAGTATACACTGTAGTCCATGGTACAGAGGAAACTGAATCTTTTATAATTATAATTAAGATGACCTAACATTGCCAGGGAAAACTGTCTTTATTACACTGGTTTGTAAAATCCTGTCCACTGCTACTGAAAGGCAAACAATTTCAGCTGGGTGTGATGGCGCACACCTATAGTCCTAGCACTCAGGAAGCTGAAGCAGGAGGATCTCCGAGAGATGAGGGCCAGGCTGGCCTACATAGTGAGTTCAAGGCCATCCTGCACTACATAGTGAGACCCTGACTCAAAAAACAAACAACAATATCAAAAATATTAACCAAAGAGTGCTTTAAGAGGAAAAAAAGATTAAAGAGGACAAATCATTCTGCTACTAGGAGGTAAAAATCCACAATGACTATATAACATTCACAAACATCTATGCTTTCCCTAATCCAAAAAAAATCAAAAAGTAAAAGCTATTAACATGTAGAAAGGAAATAACTGAAATGTTAGTTATTAGAGTTTACAAGTTAAGTAAACAAATCAATAAAAAAAACGGTGAGTTTCTGAATGTTATAATCTTCATACATGCCTATATGAATTCCATTTTATAGAAGCTATATGATGGTGAATTTTTTTTCCTGAAATCTATTTGACATAAAGAGACCCCAATGACTCAGGGAATCTCAAAGGAAGAAAGGTGAACGTGAACTAGAGTGTTATCTGGCTGGACTCAGTTGGGCTGGAAGCTCTGGTGCATGTATCCACCCATCATGGCCCAGAGTCAGATTTTAACAGCAAAGAGGATGTGATTGCAGAGAGCTGTGACCTGATAGTGCAGCCTTCAAAAGGGATATGGGTTATGGGCATCGATACTGTAGCAAACAGGCCACCATCCAGCGTTAGGAGGTTCATGATGTGTAAGCAACTCTCCCAGTCATGCCAGTGAGTGCATCTCTCTCTCCCTCCCTGCCTCAATCTCTCTCAATCTCTCTTCCTCTCTCTCCGTGTCTCTCTCTCCCCTCCCCCTCAGATAAAGCAGGGCTGGGTGACTCTATTGAGTTCTGAAATGCTCTAACACCAAGGGGGAAGAGCTGAACCCTGATAGTAATGGACCGAAATAAAGATGAAATAAAGGAAAGATGGCATCAATGTTTAACTGAAGCTGGAGAAATAGGTCACCCAGGCTACCTGTGTCAATAGGGACACAAAGGAGAAAGAATACAAGAAGTGAGCAGTAGTATTCTTTCTTTCTTTCTTTCTTTTTATTTATTTGTTTGTTTGCTTGCTTGCTTGCTTGCTTTGGGTTTTTTTGAGACAGGATCTCACTATGTAGCCCAGGCTGCACTTGAACTCACAATGTAGCCCAAGTTGGCCTCAAACACACAGCAATCCTCCTGCCTCAACCTCCCAAGTGCTGGGATTATAGGTTGCAGTACCATGCCCAACTTTTTTTGAGACAAGCTCTCGCTCTGTAGTTCAGGCTGGCCTTGAACTCCTGGCGATCCTCCTCCCTCTGCCTCCTACGTGCTGGGATTTTAGGCATGTGCCACCACACCTGGCAAGATTGATAATTTGTTTTAAATAAGCAGAAAGTTTAAATTCCTTCTAAAGTAAGAATGTCTAAATTAAAAGTCAAAGCAAATTCATTTATCCATTTTTTTCTCTTTTGTTGGAGTTATTATCACCTTTGGAGTAGGAGCAAAGCCAGACACTTGGAAATACAAAATGAGTACTTTGTATATCTTGGTCTAGGGTCCCACAGTCTGTGGAAGGTCCTTGTGGAGGAGATAGACTAAGTTAAAAAAAAAAAAAAAGAGAGAGAGAGAGAGATCGGGGAGAACAGAAGAGGGGGCCCAGCGGGTTCACGGAGAAGGAGGTACCACTTGACTTGGCTCTTGAAGGTATGGGTGGGAGCGCTAGTCAGAGAAGAACGCTGGACTGCTGGTCTGGGCAAAGGGAACAGCAAATGCTGATTTACTTCCCTGATATCAAAGGTCTGACCTTAAGTTCAGGCAGCCCATGGGAAGCTCCTGAGGGGGTCCCACACCTCTTCATTACTCCACCTCTTAGTACAGGGCCACATGCCCCTCGGGCCTCTGAGCTGCCTCCACACTGCTATTATTCCTCACTTTAGTCCTCATGGTTCACTCTGCTGTCCTCTGATTTGAGTCTCAAAACTGATTGTGTGTCAGCCACAGCAGCACATGCCTGTAATCCCAGATACTCAGGAGGCTGGGACAAGACATCACAAGTTTGAGGTCTACCTGGGAGATTTAGCAAGACGTTGTCAAAATAAAAAATTTAAGCAAGGATTGGGGCTGTAGCCCAGTAGTAGAGGGCTTGTCCAGCATCTGTGAAGCCTTGGATTCAATCTCTAGCATTCATAAAAAAGAATAAAAAGAGAAACACTAATTTTGTTTTATAATTGACCATTATTGAAGACAAAGAAAGACAGCCGAGGCAGCCTTCTGCCCTGATGGCTGCACATCACAATCACCTGAGATGCTTTTTAAACCACTCAGGGTTGGGATCCCACCTGCAGAGCGTCTGATCTACGAGAGGTGATCAAAAACTATAGTAAAAGTTTAACCTGTAGAAATGCATTATAAGGGCCAGGAGTATTGCTCAGCGGCACAGCGCCTTGCTTGGCAAGCACAAGGTCCTGAGTTTGATTCCCTGTACCAAAAGTAAAAATAAATAAATAAATAAACAAACAAACAAAAAGGTTTAAAAAATGTATTATAGCAAAAGACACATCGCCGAGAACGATGGGTAAGTGTGTGAAGCAAAGGGGGGTATTCTGAGGGGGATGAATGGCAATGTGTCTTTTACTGTAATAAGATTTTAAAATTTTAAACGTTCACCTTATTTTCAAATCAAACTGTGTTTGCTCTGTATCAGGGCCTGTACACTAGCTTCGTGGGTGCTTCCGGTATTCAAATACATACGTATTATCCAAACAGACCATTTAAAAGGAACAACCTGCCTTGGGTGGAAAATAACCCCAAATTTAGCCCTTGAAAGAAGTCTTGAAGTGAGCGTGGTGGGACACTCCTGTATTTCCAGAACTTGGAAGACTGAGGCAGGAGGATCATTGGGATTTTTGAGGCCAGCCCAGGCTACATAGTGAGTTCAAGACCAGCCCAGGGTACATAGCAAGACCCTATCTCAAAAGAAAAAAAAAATCTCATTGTGTGATATATACAAAGGGCATGAGGTGACTCAGAGCCCATTGGGAAATGAGGTCAGTTACCTTCCACCTGCCCTGGCACCGATGTCCCTTGTTTGTTTCCACACCGCCATTTACTGCTGCATCATACTCAGTTCGTGAAAAGAGCTTAGGAACAAGATTCAGTCATGATTCTCTCAACCCCTAAAAAATATTCTGCCCACCACTTTTCTCAGAGCTGCTTTCAAGTCTCTGTTCCTCAGGCTGTAGATGCAAGGGTTTAGCATGGGGGTCACCACTGTGTACAGCACAGTCGCTGGGGTGTCCTTCTCAGCAGAGTGAGAGGATGCAGGGTTGAAATACACAGCAATGATGGTGCCATAGAAGAGGGACACCACCGACAAGTGGGAGCCGCAGGTGGAGAAGGCTTTGCACCGCCCCCTCGTGGAGGGGATCCTCAGGACAGCACAGGTGATGCACAGGTAGGAGGCCAGGATGCAGACAAACGGGGTGATCATGATCAGGGAGCCCTCGGTAAGAATCATCACCTCATTGAGGTGTGTGTCTGAGCAGGAGAGTCTCAGGAGCGGGCTCACGTCACAGAAGAAGTGGGGGATCACATTGTCTGCACAGAATGAGAGCCGAGCCATCAGCAGGGTGTGCAAGAGGACATTCAGGTTGGCGACCACCCAAGAGCCAGCCACCAGCAGAACACAGAGCCGACGGGTCATCTTTATTGTGTAATGTAAGGGGTGGCATATGGCAACAAAGCGGTCATAGGCCATCACGGCCAGGAGGAAATTGTCCATGTCCACAAACATGAAAACAAAATACATCTGCGTGAGACAGCCAGAGAAGGAGATGGCCTGGCTGCCAAGTATGTGATTGGCCAGCACGTTGGGGACAGTGGTGGAGGAGAAGCAGATGTCCACGAAGGACAGGTTGCTGAGGAAGAAGTACATGGGGGTGTGCAGGCGAGAGTCGGTGCTGATGGCCAGGATGATGAGCAGGTTCCCCAGGACGGTGGCCAGGTACATGGTGAGGAAGAGCAGGAAGAGGAGCTGCTGCTGTTGGGGCTGCCTGGAGAGGCCCAGGAGGAGGAACTCGGAGACGCTGGACTGGTTCCGGCCTCCCATGGGGCTGGAACCCTGGGCCCAGGAGCAAAGACAGGTAAATTCCAAAGCTGGGAAGTGATGGTTAAGATAAGGCAATAGGAAGACTGCAGGGGGTCCAGGGATATAGCTTAGTGGCTCAAGTGCCTCCCTGGCAAGTACAAGGCCTGAGTTCAATTCCCAGTACCAAAAAAAAAGAAGAAGAAGACTGCGGGGTAGTAGGACATGACACTCAGGTAAGGCAGTAGAATTTTGCTCCCTGTGTTTTGACCTGTGGCTGGCATTCTTTGGGCTTCTCTTCCTTCATTAGAAAAAGAAGATAGTTTGAGTTGGTCCGGGGGGTGCATGCCTGTAATACCAGCACTCTGAGTGGCTGGGATAGGAGGATCACCACTTGGAACCCAGCCTGGGCAATTTAGTGACTTAGTGAGACCCCATCTCAAAAATTTAAAATGTAGCCCACTGTGAAGGTCCTGGGTTCAAACCTTACTACCAGAAAAATAAAAATAAAAATAAAATAAAATAAAGAAAACTGAGATACTTTGCTTATGAATACCATAAGACAGCCCTGAAAGGATACCACAAGACAACCCTGACAGGACACCACAAAGATTGGACAGTGAGTTTATCCATCAATCTTTGTATTGCTTGAACTTCTACCATTATGTTAAATTTTTCAGAAGTAACTGTAATAAAACACTACAGAAGGAATAATATTAATAAATACTTCAGTGTTTATAACGAGTACCAGAGAATATATGTAAAATGGTTACCATAGGAACAGACATGTGAGCATTTACCACTGAGTATGTCATCAATATTATTAGTACTGTTACCTGGGTGAAAATGTCTCCACTTCATCATCCCCACCCTGGGCCTGTTACCCACTCCTGGCTTCTTTGCTCTGAGGGTCATATGATGATCAAACAGTGTCTGTGCCCAGAGTGATGGTGATGTGATTGCAGTTGCTGCCTGTGCTCACGACAGAGCCCTTTACAGAGGTCTGAGCAAGGCCTCTTGACTGAGTCTAGACTAACTCGCAAAATTTAAATGGAAATGGTCCAGAGGTATGGGCAGAAACTCAGTCAGTTTGTGTTCCCCCACTCAGGGTCTCAGATAAAGACAAGGCAAACACTGGTCATGACGGGTGGTCACAAGGGACTGCCCATGATCTCAGGACAATTTCAGTGGTGCCACTTAATAGACACTGAGGAGTGTCCCTACAAGGGTTCACTCCCAAGCAGCAGTTAATGATGAAGTCCCACTGTCGACTCTTACCCAGAAAGAACGGCAGTCCTTACTGTCCCTGGAAGTCCTCAGCTTGCTTTATGTTAGCAGATTTTGACCAGAGGTAATTGGTCTGAGGGAGAAGGACTCATTCTTGGGCTTTGAAGGCTCAGCCATATGACGGACCCAGATACAGAGACTCAGCCCTCGGTACAAGAAGGATGTGTGGGAGCGTCACAGGCCAGCTCTTTACAGGAACCTCCATGGCCACTAGGGCCATAGTCCCTGAGAGCCTCATTAGGGATAAGCAGAGAGTAATAATTGTCCCTTCTCCTTGGGTTCCTTGGAATTCAGCGCTAATAAGAAAGACCTGTCTGTGCATTACACATGGTTGTGTAACTACCATGCTAGGACTTGGCAGCACTGAAAATGATACAAGCTTGGGGATGAACACTGCCAACAACGCCTCTGCCACAGAGAGCGCACGGTCCTGTATTTTATTCCCTCCCCCAGCTGGGCTGGCTGTTTGTTGGGAGATAGGTGTGAAGCTGAACAGGCATTAAGAGACAAATCTTAGGTTTTCGCAGACCTGTGCATAGCTCCTAGAGCCATCATGACCGGTTGTATGACCTTGGAAAAATATTAACCACCTCTGAATCACAAAATTTCACCCTCTGTGGAGTGGAGAAATAACAGTCACTGTGTAGAGGTGCAATAACTAAATGAGACACTTTGTGTTAAACATCTCACAACTCCCGAACTCATCAGTGCCCTGGGTACCTCCACTAGGTGAGACTACAGGTGTTAAGTCATATTTGCACGCTTGGCTTGAAGAGAAAAGGAGTTAACTTTTTATAGTTAAATTTCTGAGCAGCTAGCAGATTTGTCTTCCTGTCTTCTGCCAATGGCAGGTACATATTTCCCTTATCTAACCAACTGTACCCCGAATTTATATGTTATCTCAAGCACTCGCTTCCTGAAACTTGAGCTTGCCCCCACCCTGAACCTATTTGCTTCCCATAACCCCAAGTTTGCCCAGAGTTTGAACTTGCTTTAGTATGCAAAATATGATATAGTTTTCTTTTAGGCCAATCAGTAATAATGGCATAAGATATAACCAATCAATAACTGCCAAATACTCTGCTTTGTGTTTCCTGTCAGGTGTCCAAGCTAGACCCTCACCCAGGTAGGAGAGAAAAGCTTCCCAAGCAGATCTGTTATTCACACTTTTGGGAGCACGGCATTCAACAGGAAGCCGGCAGCTTCTCCACGCAGCTCAACCAGCTAGCAGCCGCCCCACACAGCTGACCTGCAGAGAGCTGATTCCATGAAAAAACACAAGAGACGTCGTGCCTTCCAGCACCCCCTATACCTAACACCACCCTGTCTTTCACCTAGCCCTAGACCCCCTGCCCAGAGACCCAAAATTTTGTAACCTCCACCCCTACCTAAACTCCTCTATAAAACATGCTCTTGCCTCTTGCTCAGGGCCAATGGTCTTTTCACCCTTGGCCTAGCCACACCTGGTCTGCAATAAAGTCCTTGCGCATTGCTTAAATTGTGCATGTCTCCACTGTGCCTCAGTTTACCCTAACACTTCCCACTTACAAGCCCCATATAAGCCCTAGACTACCGGAGATTGGCACCTGAAACTTTGGGAATGAATCCCTATCAGAGCCGTCAGTGCAGATAAATCTGCCTCCAACTCCCGGTTGATGTTTTGGTGTTTCAGCTTGCCACTGCAGGCTCTCTGCTCAGTGACCTGTACTCTGGATAAATATAATTTGGAAATAGCACTATATATTTATCTTCATCTGTCAATACTTATTTTTATAAGGGGCCGTAGGAGTCTTTCTTTCTATATTTTAATTTGGGGTTAAGTGAGAAATGGGAGTCTATTTATAGACTAATAAGTCTATTTATAAATTGGTAGAACATGAACTCCAAGGAAAAAAGAGAATGCTTGAGTCCAGTGGGTACCATTCTTCAAGAACTTTCCTCTGTAACTGTTTTGAAGGCAAGATCTGGCTACTGGTGCCTACAAAGCATTTGCTTTTGTGCATTGTAAAGTTCACTTGCATGGATTGATAATATTAAAGCATAATAACATAGAATGAGTCAGAAGGGACAGATGAATCCTTGGAATAGTGTTCTCTGGAAACCATGTGCTCCTCTAGCTAAGCTTCCAACTCGAGTTGGTTATAAGCTGTTTTTCATTCTCTCTCTCTTTCTCTCTCTCTCTCTCTCTCTCTCTCTCTCTCTCTCTCTCTTACTCACTCACTTTCTCACTCTCTCACTCTCTCACTCTCTCTTTTGAGACAGGATCTCACTATGTAGCGCAGGCAACCCATGCTGGCAACGAACTTGCAGTGGTCCTCCTGCCTCAAGCTCCCAAGTGCTGGAATTACAGGCAAGCATCGCCACACCTGGAAAACTGTTTTTCTGATTGTGATGGGTTTTGCTGTTGTTTCTTGGTATATCTGGTTGGTTGGCTTTGGTTTTTGAGACAGGGCGGGCGCTCAGAGCACCCAGAGGAGGGAGGGACTGGGTTGAAAGTCCCACTCCCACTGTGGATTGCTTGGGATGACGGGGCACAGAGCCTTTCCCGGATTTCTGATAGAAACCTTTCACAGAGCCTAATTCTTTGCTAAACTGGTCATTTGTGTTTGTATCATTTTGTTTAGCTTAGCTGGCTTTTTATTAGTGTCTTCTGAAAGCTTCTGGATCACTTTGGTTATTATTTGCATGATCTGCTTAGTTATATCTTCTGCGATCCTGCTGAGTACCTCTGATCTGTTTTTGAACTTCCTCTGCTATCCTTCAGATATGTGGCTTGTGACTTGTTATTCTCCCCCTCAAAACCCCCTACACTGGCTTCAGGGGAATTGGAAGTTTTAGGGGGCATTTTGTTGCCTTCTCTTCTCATGTTTCTATTGCTTTTGTTTGTTTGTTTGTTTTGTGCTGAGGTTTGTGGATGCTTACAGTGTAAGACTTTGTTACTAGTGTAGAGATCTCTTTAGTTAGTTGCTTTTCAGTGATGTAGTTTAGACATGAATAATTACAGTCCTTTGCCTCAGCCCCAAGAGCCGACCACCTCAGTTAGTTTGGAAGGGGAACATTGAATGTAAATGACCCAACACTGAGTTTTCTGGGAGTACCCTGTAGAATTGTTAATGTCACAAAGGTAATCTAGACGTGGGTTTACAGAGAAAACTCATTAATAGCAAAAGTTACGTGACTGCGGCAATATTAAGCAAATCAGCTACAGCAATATCTCCCAAGACAAAATGGATATTAACATGAGGCCCAATTACATATCTTCCTTTGCCCTAGAAAAGAAACCCACTATTATGGTGTAAACATTAGGACAACCCAAGTATTGACGTATAGCTAATATGTACTAAGTGTGACAGTTATAGCTCTGCTTATGGTAGAAAAGAATTCAGCAGTAATTTTAAAGAGTTAACTACCTAAAGATCAGTAATACCTTGTGGTTATATTATTAAAGATATTGGGGGTTACGGATGGGAAAAGGCAAGAGGAAAATTTTAAAACTCTAAACTATATGATATGAGAAGAGGGAGACAAACGTGGTACAAAGGGTTCTAGTGAGGAGCAGAAAGATGTTTATAGAGTTATATACAGTTAACAGAAAAAACTGATGGGGAGTGCTGAGAGAAAAAAAGAGTGAAAAATAAAGGAAAAAAAAAGAAGAAAAAAAGATATAAAGCAAGGGAAAAGTCCAAAGGAAAACTTCTAAACCCCACATAAACTGTTGAAGAAGAAAGAAGAAAGAAAAAAACACACTC